ACGTTTGTGATTTGGGCCATATTTGGACTATTAGGATTTTGGGCCTTGTTGGGCCACTAGTCTTTTTGACTTTGGTCCATTGTTAGGCTTTGGTCTTTCTTGGATTTGGGCCCATAATGGGCTTTGCATATCATTTAGGATTTGGGCCATATTTGGCTTTTGTGTGCCATTAGGTTGGGCCTCAGTTATTGGGCCAAGTGAGGAAAGGGTAAAATGGTATTTTACCCTGGGTGTTGGACAAATGAACTAGATTCCCAGTTATGGTTTATGGCCCAATTACTAATTAATTGGGGTTTTATTTAATTGATTAGCGTGGGGATCTTCCGGTTCAACACCCTGATCATTTGTTTGATTGACAGCAGATTGAGATGAGTTTTCTCATTATACTATATGTTATGTGTTTGTAGTCTTTGTGACTCCTGTTGTATGTGTTATATGTCTTTGTGCCTATTTGATATATGTATGTAGAGTGAAATAGACCCGGGGATAAAATAGACCTGGTACAGCTTTGTGCTGACATATAAGTTGAAATAGACTCGGGGGTGAAATAGACCCGGTACGGCTTTAGGCCGACACATGAGTTGAAATAAACTCGGGGGTGAAATAGAACCGGCACAACCTTAAGCTGGCAGATATGTATGGTATGCGGTATTTTGGGGAACTCACTAAGCTTCATGCTTACAGACATTTGTTTATGTTTCAGGTACTTCCTGATCGAAAGGGAAGAACTCAAGTTGATCGCATCGCACACACCACAAATTTCGTTTAATTGACTCTGATGTATTGAGATGATTGATTGACATACTCTGTTTTGCCCACCTGGCCTACAACTCATGTCTGGAGCTCTCGAGCCCACAACATAAGTCTGACTTGCTTTTCCGGCCCATAGCTTATGTCTAGCTTACTCTCAGGTTTGTTGGCTTACGCACATAACAGTAGAGCCTCAACCCAAAACCACGCTATATCGATATATGCAACAAAAAAACATAAACATATAACCAACAAGTACATGTAGTCAGACAGATCTACCAATCTAACAAATAGTTACCGCATAACAACATCCTATACACAAGGATATATTGTTCTCTTTTGAAACTTAAACTTTTACTTGGTATTTGGGACCGCTACTCCACACTTTTAAAACTTTTAAAACTTTAAAATACTTTATTTAAAAATGAAATGATTTTTTAAGTTATTTTAAATTATCATAGTGATGTGTGTTTCATGTAGATATGTCAGAGTTTAGGGATGAAAACCGAGGTCCTCGATACTCCTCGACAATGTTACCATGTCCACTACAAATGAACAAATGAAGGGGGAGCAAGGGTGCCCTTATGGTTCATCTTCTTGTCTACTTCATTGTTTCATCTTCACTATTTTCCTTTTATTTACCCTAACTAAATATATGTCGATGAGGTTTTGATATCAGGGTTTCAAAGGGTTACAAGTTCTTTGTGAAGTCAATTGGAATATGGAAAAGGAGATGGATACGTTTTGGTCCCATAATAGTTCTTTCACAACATACACAAATTAGGGACAAAAATTACGAAATCCTAAAGTGCCCTTGTTCATTTGTTTTTACGGAATGACGTTTGCCTCTGCGATGAGAGTCTATCGGTTGAGGAGTGAAATTCCACATAAGAGGTCTAAGGTTTAAATCTTGACACACACCAAAAAATCACTAGTATCCATCAATTGACATCCCACTCCCATGTTGACCTTGAGACAAATGAACGTGAGCTGCTTAGATGATGAGGTTTACCATTTCTCTTATGGAACATCATCCACATCACAAAAACCTATACTAACTATATTTGTTTTCATCGGTTAGTAATTTACCCATCAAATAGCCGAACTCCATTGCAAAAGACTAGACCACAATGCAGTCTTGACGCCAAATCAGACATTACAAAATTGCAACACCCTGATGATGTAAGAGTATTTTACGATCAACACCGAATTGATCCATTCCAAACATAATTGTTATTTCTAGTAAACCTAAACAAATCTATATACTATAAATATATGTGATATTTGTGTCAATATTCCTATAAATAAAGAAAAGATTCAACAAATAAGAATTTTTATAGTTAATATATCAATTTTTATTTTAAACAATCAAATCATGTTATAAACTTATTAAATATGTCTCCAAAATAAAACATTTTCTTTGTCCCAATTCCCAAGCAAATTGCGAGAATATGCCATTGGCGATTAGACCAATATGACGTCGAAAGCAACCAGGCATGCTATTGGCTGGTGTCTAGGGCTTGAGCAACTTGTATATAAAAGCCAACCATTTTCGTTGAGATTCTCGGAACGGAGGAGAAATCGGAGAGGTCTGGGTCGACTCAAGTCATCCCTCTATCATCTTCTCCGTTCTTTTCTCTGATATTCGGCCATGGCGTTTTCCGACAACTCTCGTCAATCTCTCATCCCTAATTTCCTCTACACTTCTTCTGCTTCGCCTAGCAGCCTACTCATGGGCAACACTTCAAACCCTACCTTGTTTCCTTCTACATCACCCGCCAAACAGAACAACAACTTTGTGATTCCTGCTCCCAACGAGCCTCTAGGCAAGATCGAGATGTACTCTCCTCGATTCTACGCTGCTTGTACTGTTGGAGGTATTCTCAGCTGTGGTCTCACGCACATGACCGTTACTCCTCTTGATCTTGTGAAATGTAACATGCAGGTAATTCCTTCAATCATTTCTTTCTTTAGATCTGGTTAGTTTTATATTATTCCGTCTAGATAATTTTCATTTTTTATGCTCGTGTATTTTTGTGATGTTCTCTCTATGGATGTGCAATAGTTTACTGCTAGCTCACTGTAGATCTGTTACGTCAAACTCAGTTCGGGATAATTTGGTTGTTTTACTCTTCTACGTCGGTGATTTGATCTGTGTTGTTTAATTTATTGCATCCGATTACCAGTGTGATTGATCCAGATAGTGATTGCACTAGTGTTTTTAATATTATATCTGGTACTTGCTGTTCACCTTCTAATTCATATTTTATGATGTCGATCCGTTCAGTGAAAGTTCTTAATTGTCATAAAATTATTCTTCCAACCTTTTGTTTGTCATTCAAAGTTTATTTCTATCGTGTTATCATTTCCTGGCTAGTTTTAGTAATAAAACGAATTGGGTTGCATCATGTGACTGTGGATTCTGACAACCAGAAACCTATTGGATTGAAGTTTCATGAAGTAGAGCTTAGCCGAGAGCTCGAGTAGTTTCTAGTTACTTGGTAATTTTATTTTCTCAAATCATGCATCTATCACATCAGATTTGATGCACAATTCTTCTTGAAATAGAGTCGACGACTGATTATCAAATTTGATGCACAATTCTTCTTGAAATAGATGTACAAGTGTTCTCTATAAAATACCATTGAACATCATCAAAGCCTATGATCCGTTTTGAAATTCATTCCATCCAATGGTTTTTTCACGTGTTGATCTCAATCTCATGGGTTTGTTGTTTTGGTTACTCAGATCGATCCAGTTAAATACAAGAGCATATCGTCTGGTTTTGGGGTATTGCTGAAGGAACAAGGTGTAAGGGGGTTCTTTAGGGGATGGGTCCCTACCCTACTTGGGTACAGTGCTCAGGGTGCCTGCAAGTTTGGGTTCTATGAATTCTTCAAGAAATACTACTCTGACATTGCTGGACCAGAGTACGCAACCAAATACAAGACCCTGATCTACCTTGCTGGTTCAGCCTCTGCAGAAATCATTGCTGACGTGGCTCTTTGTCCCATGGAAGCAGTGAAGGTCCGTGTCCAAACACAACCTGGTTTTGCCAGAGGTTTGAGTGATGGGCTTCCAAAATTCGTGAGATCTGATGGTGTACTTGGGTTGTACAAGGGATTGGTTCCACTTTGGGGACGCCAAATACCATGTAAGTTGATAAGAATATATATATATTTTTTTGTTACAAGTTTAGTTAAGCTTGATTGGTGTGGGGGACACTTAGTAGTGTTTGATATGTGCAAACAGATACAATGATGAAGTTTGCTTCGTTTGAGACAATTGTGGAGATGATGTACAAGTATGCGATTCCTACACCAAAGAACGAGTGCAGCAAATCCCTGCAACTTGGAGTTAGTTTTGCTGGTGGATATGTGGCTGGTGTTTTGTGTGCTATTGTGTCTCATCCTGCTGACAATCTTGTCTCCTTCCTTAACAATGCCAAGGGAGCAAGTGTTGGAGATGTGAGTACTACTACTCATGTCTTTTTTATCAATTATCATCTCAAAAGTCAAAAGTGAACTCTCCTTAAAACCTTTTTTTATTTATTTATCAGGCTGTGAAGAAGCTTGGAGTTTTGGGTCTGTTCACCCGAGGGCTTCCTCTACGTATTGTAATGATTGGAACTCTGACTGGTGCTCAATGGGGAATTTATGATGCTTTTAAAGTGTTTGTTGGCCTGTAAGTTTTATCTCATCTCAAGTCTTTTATTTCTCTTGTCAAACACCATTTCCTTCATTTCTGACTTCATGTACCACAACATACAGGCCAACAACAGGTGGTGCTGCACCAGTTGCTATTGAGGCTGCCAAGGAATAGAAGTTTACTGGGAAGCCTGAGAATTGCGTTTCTTTATTTTAAATGAGTCAATAAACAATAGGATATATTATTCTACTACTTCCTTGATGACATTGGCAGGCACCACAGTAGATTTGGAGAGTAGTAATCTCTTCTTTTTTTTTTTTTTTTTTTGTTCGGGACACTAGAATGTGGTGCCCGTTTCAACTTTAATTGTTGCTATTTTATTTCTGACTTTTTTTTGGGTAACATTGAGGATTGGGTTGTGTAGTCCTCTGCTTCATGAGTTGAGAAGTTTTTGTTATGATGAAAAGACACAGGATTGGAGACATTATACTTTTGGAGATGTTTTTGTTCATGTCATGTTTTCATCTTTTATTAGCAAAGAAGAAACGACTGATTTACAGATTATATGTCCAAAACAACAACACACAACACAAAAGAGTCTTATGCTGATTGATTATTTTAGTACGTTGGGTTGCAGATGCATTTATACCTGGGAGAGATCCTCACTGGACAGGTTTTCAAAAGAAGTAATCTGTTGAATCGGTGGTGGGTACATGAATTCATCATCCCATGAACTACTGAATGAGTTGATGATCTCATTAAAGTAGATGTCGCAGTCATCATTCATCAAACTCCAACCACCATCACCATCCATGTTTGGGAAGTTGGTAGGCTGGTCAGTGTCAGGGAGATTATAATTAAACTCAAGCCCACCAGCCACAGCTTGATTCATCAAATCAGCATCATCCTTCTTGTTTCCCTCAACTTCAGTTGCTTCTTTTTTGTATTCCTCATATTCGTAGCCACTTCTAATAGCCCGAATCAACTGATTAGAAACAAACCAAAACAGCATTGGATTAATCAACCCATCTTAATAAGATTAGGTTTAGGTAGGTAGTTGTATAAAATTGCTTATTACATAGTTTTGATCCACCAAATCCTGGTATAGCAGTATATAGTCATCCGCTTCCAGTCCATGCTTCTTGGTGAATGACCCTAACAAGATCAAGATGAATGAATATCAAAACACACATCAACATAGAAACAAAACTGAAAATAACTTACCTGTGCCCTCAAGCACGTACATGCGGCTGCGGTTATTTGGCCAGTACCTGTCAAAATTCAAATTCGAAAATGAAGCCAACCAACCTAAATATAATAAGTAAAATTGACAAGTCTATTTTTGTTTTATGAAGCAGCATAAACCAACCTAAACTTGAATGACCATTCATCCCCAGTGTTCAGGTCATTCATTTGCAAAATGACACTGTCGTTTTTTAAGAGCACAGGAAGGTGAGCCTCTGCTGGTTTCTACATTATTAATTAAATAAGATAACAAAGTATGGTTAAATGCAGATGAAGCTGTCGAAATTGCCACCTCTTAATTATTTACTAATTTGTTTCCAAGATAGAAAAATTAAATAAAATCAACCTTTGGCAATACGATTCTGCCGATACTGTTAACATCACTTTTATGCAGCTTCTTGTAGAACAGAAATGCTAACCTCCCACGCTCTGTAATCTAATATAGACAAACGAAACCTGTATAATTAGTAGTTATCTTGAAACAAAACAAGATCATCATGTGATGTGGGAAGAAAAACATCATTCCATTCATGGTAACAACACATGGACTTAGTAATGACAAACTACTGATTAAGCTTCAACAGTAATGACAAACTACTGATTAAGCTTCTGTAGATAGGGCTAAATGCAAGAAATAACAACTTACTGTATTTTCTGCTCTTGTTAAGACACTGTACTTTAAAATATCTATCTATTATAGCAATCATTAACACATTAATTTCAAATTTAATGATGTAATAACATAAGTTACCAAGTTTTTATATCATGTCATTGTACATGTACATATGCCTTCAACAACAACAACAAACCCCACTAATAAAAAAAGATTGAAAGTAGGTTGTATAATAACTAAGAGTAAATAAAGATACGAAAGGAAACAAGTTATCAATTATTTACCTACATCCATTTGGGTTTGACTTTTGAGACCTTTGACACAATAATTCATCGATTGGTGGAGATTTTTACATGGAAAACAATCAATTATTTGGGAATGTTTTAATGGAATTCTTTCCATGAACGAAACATAAGCTATATATTTGCATGGACCAGATTTCAGAAAAAAAAAATTAAGGAAATTATTTTATTTGCTGGAGTATTTTTCATTTCCAATTTTAGATTAAAGAAAGACAATAAAAACTTTTTGTTTTTGCCACGTGGATAAAGTATTTAATACAATTTATTATTGTCAATAAAAAATTTCAAGTAATAACTGGTTTTTTAAAACATGTTTTTTTCCTTTTTGTATGACTCAAATTTTAGCATCAAACAACGAAATTACCATCGGGCTATTCTCTTCTCTTCTGGATTTCTCGTCAAGTTTAATATTTCTAAATTTCTCATGATCATCGATCACTTAATTTCAGTTTCAAGATCAATTCGATTGTAAGCTATGATGGTTGATTGAAAATCAAACAAAAGAAGAAAACAGAACTATTGATTAGAATTAATGGTTAACTACAAGAATTGATGCTTAGGTTGTTGATCAATCGCCCTCCAACACGGAAAAGGTCCGATCGAAATTCAAGAAAAATGTGAAACACTTTTTAAATAACAAAAAAAATCAAATCATAATAAGCCATTCCATTACTGTTAGAAATTAAAATTCCGGAAAATAAGATTGGTTTAAGAAGAAGAGATCATACATTTGGTGGGAGAGGAGGAGGAACATAGGCATCGTCACTGTCGGACATCCGTTTCTTCTTAATAAAACACTTATCCTTCTTCATCACGGGCTTGCGCCGACGGCTGACTTCAGCAGGAGCAGCGGTGAAGTCGCCACCTTCCTTCGTCGCGGCGATGGGGTTTTCCGCCAGCATACCATAACCGTTTCTCTCCATTCGCTCTTTTTCTAGCATTAGGAAATTTTGAACAGCGAGGGGTGTTTGTTGGTTGTAGTAGGGTGGATTAAAGCTATCTCTATATTTAGCAAAGATTTGGTGAAAGAAGAGGTTAAGGATTGTACATGGTGCATCCATGGTGTTCCTAAATTTGTACTGGTGTTAATTAATTGGAGTGAAATTTAAGAGGAAAAAGGCAACGATGACCACAGACAGGAGACGAAAAATTGTTTGTTAGGGGCTTTGGATTTATGCTCATTAAACCCCTTTTGCCACCATTAATACACGTAGAGTGTATGCCTGAAAGTAATCTCAGAGACGGAGGACGGGTGTAGAAGAGGAGGGAGGTGTTGTGGCCGTGGAGTATTCTTATTTGTATTCTCTGTGAGCACCATACTCCACGTAAAATATTCTACTCAGATCAGACATCAGTGATGTCAGAATGCTCACCAGAGGCATTCTGCATCTGCCACATCAACAACTTTTACTTTATTTGGTGTCTGGAACTTGTCACCATTTCATGTTTTTTCTGTCTGAACAAATAAAAAATTCAGACTTTTACCCTTAAAAAAAGTAAATAAATGATATATAAGGGGTAGAAAAGAAAAGTTACTTTTACCCTTAAAAAAATAAATAAATGATATATATAAAGGGTAGAAAAGTTATTTAATTTGGTTTAGGGACTAAACTTTTTTTAGAAAAAAGAAATTAGAAGTATAATATGTATTAAGTTGTGCCACGATTTTAGACATATATAAACATATACATATGTTGTATAAATAACTAATTTTAAGTGGGTTTGTGTTTTACTTCGTGAGAGCTTCGAAACGATATATCGTATGCGCAAAATTGAGTATATATGAATGAAATATCAATACTTAAAGTTGAGTATTTTAGAATAAAAGTTAGCAAGAGAGGTGGGTGTGAGAATGAATCCCACATTGGTGGAAAGAACATACTCAAGTGAGTTTATAAGTTTGAATGTATGATGGGCTCATAAGCTTGAATCTATGATTTTTCTCAAACTTTTAATATCTAAATAAGTATTTTTCGGACATCCGGAAAAACACAATAGGTGAAAACTTGTCTCTCGAAACCTCTCAACCGCAAATAAAACATTTAGTCAAATAAAAAATTTGTGTGGTTTTATACATTGGTTAACTTTTTTTTTATCCCTCGTTATTAATTAATTTGGTATAAAAAAACTTTCTTTTTACTTGATTTCGAGACCTTCATTGTTTGGCTTCAACCAATATAATTTTTTTAACTAATATGTAAAATATGTAATAAATACAAAAAAGATATGACACCTTCTAAACGCCGCTTCATTTTAAAGAAATAACATCCTTTTAAAGTTATTATAGTTATTTTATGAGGTTTAATGTAGATACTTTATCTATTTTCATTTCAAACCTTTATCTCAAAACTTCATGTATAACTAGAAGGAATTTGGTTGCGCCAGGTTTGAATAATGTCTGGAAACAAAAACCTAGAAATAATTTATTGGAAATGGCATTAAAAGTTATATAAATAGAATTTGTTTACATTACATGATAGAATGAAAGAGAAAAAGAAAAAAAAACATTTACTTAGTAAACAATGAAAAATTAACAAAACACGGAGAACGGAATGGTGTATTCCATTCCATTTGGCAACAGAATGAACAATTCCATTCCTACCTTCATTCCATCATAACAAAAAAGATGTTGTACTTATGCATATATCATGGTCTCTTATATGCAAAAGGCCACCACTGTGCACTCATAGCTTCCCTGCAAGGGAAAAAACATAGAAATAGAGGCCAAGATCATTATTTGACTTTAAAGTACCACAAAGGGATGGCTTCCACATGGGGTAACTTAACCATTTAACATAATTACAGATCCAATTCCTTCGACCAGGAAAATCAAGACATATTGACCTTAGAGTCCGATATGTAACAACATTCGGTTGAAGTACATCTTTCTTCATCCTTCTAAAGCACTTCTCAGCTCGTTCCATGTCTGATGTATTCACATATGTCCACAACATACTTGTGTATCTCAAAGTGCTTCCATTGCTTTCCATGTACCTGTTGTCGAATCACATCACCCAATTTCAAAATAAATTCAACTTCCGATTAATTAGTCTCAATTAAATAAATTAGGTGAAATTTTGTTGTTCTGCAAGTCAGTGTATTTCATCAAGTAAAGGAGTTTTGATCAAAAATTACGGAGAAGATACTGATTTGTATGTGATAGTTACGATTAGAAAATGAAGAAAGAATAAAGGTACTGTCGTCACAACAATCTACCGTCGTGGAGAAAACCAAACATGAAATAAAATCAATACGTGGACAAAAATCAGTGAAATAGGAAATCAACAATCCATTCAGGACCTGAAAATATACATCTACTATTAGACATTTACACAAACACACACAAATAGAGATATAAAAAAAATTAGTTGTGATGAAAAAGAAAAATTAAAGAAGCATACACTTGAAACAAACATTTGATTATATATTAAAAAATGTCACCATTCTTTTTGCAAATATAACTTTCGGTTCAAACTAACGTTTGACTATATGTTAAACAAAAAGATTACCTGACATCCTCTAATTTCTTCAACTCTTTTTTCTTGAGATATTACTGCCTCACAACTTTTATGAAAAAGAAAACTAAAGAAGCATACAGTTGAGTATGAAAAAAAAACAAAATAAAAAGATCCATATTAGATAAATATTACAATAATTATAGAAAAAGATGGATTGAAACCTTAAAGCTCCAACGTCAGCATCTCACAACACATTGGCTCTCCTAATCCGCTCCTCTATTAAAAAAGTTGAGTTGGGCATTTTATCGAACACCTGGTGCGCAAAACGAAATACAATTACAAGTAATAACAAATTCTTTGAACAATGTATCAGTTCCTGTTTGGACATTCCAATTTTCGTTTCTCTACAACGCAGATGGACCTATAATTCAAAATGTATTTCTTTATATCAAGATAGGTTAAAAATAAAAATACAGAAGAGGGGGAAGGCATGAGGAGGCTTACGTGATCTGCTTTCTCTCTCAAACCTTCTTTTTTCAAATCCTGCCAAAACAAAATCCAAATTCTAACATGTTCAATATCTTCAAATTGACTGGAAAAAGTGGAAATAGAGTGTAATTAGGTTTTAAGAAAATAAAAATAGTGAATTTATAAAAGTTATGAGAGAAAGGTACCTGACAAGGTATACGACAGGAGTTATGGTAGCCTCGCCACCGGTGTTACAGACACGTCGGACACAAGCTCCACGGTCGGGTCCGTTGGGTCTGTTGTAGCAAGGTTTGGAGACGACGTTCCACCAGCAGCTAATCGAAGCTCAGAACGATATGGTCAGATTTCAAACAGCGGATTTTGTTATTATGTAAGAGAGAGGTAGTGAAGCGGCAATCCGTGTGGCGGTCGTCCAGATTTTGTAGAGCGATGAAAAACGAAATTAGAAGGACGGAAGTAAGAAGGGATCGAAAAGGAATAGAGATAAAAGGAAAGCAGGAGAAGGCATCCCATTTCATTGGTAGGCGACGGCGGTGAGTCCAAGAAGAGGCGGTGGGATAAGCTGAATTAAAATGAGGGCACAAATAAAACTTTGGTGATCAAATTGTTAATCCAAGAAGTCACGTGGCCAATCTATGAACTCCCAAACATTTCTGTTCACCAGAAATCCGTGACAAAATTCGAAATTTCCGTGTCCTAAAAAGAAAGAGGGAAACTTCAGTGTGTGATTAAGAAAGAGAAGAAACTATACTGTTGCCGAAGATTTTATGCTTTTATGTTATATATAATTTCTAACCTTTTTTTTCTTTCAAACTTTTGTCATTTTGTTATTTTTCTAAAAATTACATTATATAAAAGCCCACTTATATTTGTTAATTCATATGTAAAAGCCGTTCCATTTATAATTTAATATTTTATTTTATGAAAACCGCTGCCACCGCAGCCAATAGTTTATTTTGGTGAACATTTTCCGGGAACGATTATTTTTTACTTTGAATTGTTGTCTCCGATTAAAAATAAAAATATGTTGCTATATAGGTTTTTAAAAGAACACTCACAAAAGAGAATATATACCAAATTTGATCACAAGCGAACTTCACCACGATGCATAATTTTATTATTTTGAATGTTAAAAAGATTTTATTTTCTACTTTTATGCACAAAATTTATGATATACATATAAAGGATTAAAACAAAAGAAAAAAACTAATGGCGAAACATAAAAAAACCACATTACATTTTCAGTTTGTCATCGTTATACTACTCAAGTCTTTGTACTTTTTATCTCTAATAATTATATATTTACATATTGTTTTTATTATCCTAGTAAAGTGTATAAATGATTACTGTAATAATTGTGTTGACAATCTTATTTTTATAAAGATGAAAAAGATGAAAGAATTTAACCGGTTAATATATATATATATATATATATATATATATATATATATATATATATATATATATATATATATATATATATATATATATATATTAATGGACATATATCTTAGGATCAATATATTTTATGGATTTTGGACTTTAACCACAAGAGTTTTTAAATGTCATTTTTCGCCTCTGATTTCAATGCTTTATGATTTGCATAAACAATTTTTGTATTTATCTTTCACTACTAGAAAAGAAGGGATTTTGCTACAGGAAAATAACTACGGAAAATTTTCGTAGGTAATTAGCTACATAATACCAACGGAATTCCTACGGAATGGGAAGCCCTAAATTAGTAACGGAATAGCTACGGAATAGCTACAGAATAACGACGGACGCACATCCGTAGGTATTTTGTAGTTAAATTTGTAACAGAAAATTTCATAGGAAATGCGTAGGAAGGTTCCTAGCTAGTTTGTAGGAAAAAATTACCCACGAGGGTTTTCCCCACAACCCTTTTTTTGTAGGTAATCTCTGATACCAACTTGTAACATCCCAAAAACATGGTCTGAAAATTTCGTTTAATTTAATAATAAAAACCATAGTCGATAAACATCATATAAAAATCATAAGCAATGTATCTCAAAATAATATAACAACTGTCAAGTATATCATAGTATAAACATCCCAGGCTGAACAAATGGTGTGTGCACTGCAATCTTCCCGAGCTCCTCTTTTGAAAACTGAGTACCTAAAACCAAAACTGAAAACCGTAAGCACGAAGCTTAGTGAACTCCCCCAAACTACCACATACCATACAATAACATATAAAGCACATACTAGGCCTTGCCCACTGCATCGAACCGAAGTCCGGACTAACTGGGGCCTTGCCCCCAGCATTGGACCAAAATCCGGACTAACACATAAACATGCCTGAATCACAAAGACATCAAACATACTAAACTACTGCATCGGACCAAAGTCCGGAACTTCTGCTATCTAAACGGGCAGACATTGTGACCGTAGACCCGTTCCTACTGGGAGGAAAACTCATCTCACACTGTTGAAGTCCCGTAGACACAATCTCACACTGATGAAGTCCCGCAGACTCGACCCTAGCTGCTGGATGACAGATTCCCGAACTGTCAACACCAAAATAACACCCAATTAATAATTGGATTCTAACACATAACTATAAATACATACTTTGGATAATTACTACATTACCCCTAGCTTGGCTTACCCAAGCCCAAGGCCCAATCCATAATCCCAAAGTCAACTAGGGATCAAAACCCAACATATGACCCGACTTTTCAAATTGGGCCCAAACCTCTACATGGACTTCCCTTAAGGCCCAATTGTTCAGTCCAATCCAACATGTCTCATTCTAAGGGCCCAATATCATACAACCATCTAGGCCCAAACTATGGCCCATCTATGGCTCAATTTTCCAAATTGGACCCAATCCTTCATATGGGCCTTACCCTAAAGTCCAACTAATTATTCTAGTCCATTTGATTATTCTTGGATGATCCATTAATAAACCAATTACCAAAGCTCAATCAAAAGGCCCAACAAAAAGCCCTTGTGACAATAGGGTTTCACATAAAATGACGATTAGGGTTAAATGTTTCTTACTTAACCCATTAAGGACTTAATCCATTAAGTCCTTTACTCTACTAGATCAATGATAAGGAGAAATTGGACTTACTACACAATCAAATCTCAATAGCCCAAAAGTGGGTCCCATAAGTCTAAAGCTCAAATATTCACAATTAGGGTTTCCCACTCTAACATAACATGGCCCACTAGGCCCAAAACTAAACTTCAAGCCCATTAGGGTTTGCTTGTGGGGCATCACCCACTACCACCTCGGATAGTGGTTGTCAATGGCGGCACATGACAGCGGCCACCACCTTACGGTGGTGGTTTTCCATTTCTTTTCATTATTCTTTTGGCAATTACAGTTACAATGCTTTAATCAAAATAAACACACACCACTAACTAACTAACATACACACACAGCCACACCATGGTAGCCGGCGGCGGTACAAGGCGGCAGCCACCACCGGATGGTGGTTTCATTTTCCGGCCAACAAACCCTCACACGACCAAAACACATATACATACACGATTCTACTTGCTCATAAGGTCCAGCCACCCACCTGGTGGCTCATGGCGGCGACATCAACATAGTTGACGGCTACAGCCACCATGGCCGGCTGCCATGGTGGTTCTTCATGGATTGCGCCCAACAGAAGAGACGTACCAACCTTCATTCGATCCTGAAATAGCAACCCAAACGCACCCGATTCCTCGCAGCGGCAGGCGGTGATAGGTGACGACCGGAGCAATTGGAAGGTTGCTTGGTGGCGCCAACGACCGCTAGCAGCGGCTTGAATGAAACGGAGACGAGAGAACGTTGTCTGCGGCAAGGAGACGATGCGCCCATCACAACAATGACCATGACGCCCGTCGATGGTCCTAGTTCTCAACAACACCGGAGCAGCATGGCGGTCTTCAACATGGCGGCTCCTGGCTTCGTCGTTGATCGGCAAGGCAACGGAAGATGGCGGTCTTCAACGCACATGGCGGTGACAGAGTGATAGCGCCGGAGAATGTAGAAGGAGGGTGGTGGCGGCGCTGCATGTCGAAGAAGGGGAAGGGAAATGGCGACCGGTGCTTAGAGGTTGGCGGCTGCAATCTTTTATTTAGGGTTAGGGTTCCCGAAATACATATATACCCGGTGCCATTAAACTTATTTACATATTGACAGGATCAGCCCCTCCTTCATTAAAACTTTTCAACTTTAATCAATTATTTACTCTCTTGCCCTTGGTTCCATAATTTCTTTTCATAATAGATCCCCATATTACCAATAAGCCCCCTAAGCCTTCAAATCTTTTCAATTTAAATCCATTAATTAACAAACGCACCCTTGCTTCCAACATTCTTCTCAAAACAACTCCGTAACTTACTAATCAACCCTCCACTATTAAAATTCTTCACAAATTAATTCCGGGAATTACATTTATTAATTTATTTAAATAAACGGGGCGTTACAGCTTCTTTTTCCCGCCTCCTAGTGCCCGACACTATGTATGGGGTGTTGGTTATGTGCTTTGGATTTGTCATATTCTTGTAACATCCCGACTCCCAAGTAAAAAATTTAAAAGCTTAAAGTCATATTCTTAGACCTACTCGATGATTTGGTTGCCCCCAACTCGTCGTGTAGAAGTGGATCAGGCCGCGTGATTTATGAGGTCTACTCGATGAGTTGGAGGACCCCGACTCGACGAGTAGGAGTTGGGAAATGAAACCTTAATTTTTAGGGTTTGCCCCCTGTATAAAGAACTTAATTAGCCTCTTGTGGCCTCCCTTACCACTTCATTACCCATAGAGGAAACCCTAGCCGTTATTTGTTGTTCCCTTGAGCTTGTGAGACTAAAAGAGTGCTTTTGGTGTATTTTGTTGAAGAAGCTGGAAGGTTGAGAAGCGTGGAACGGGAAGGAGCTTGTAGATCCAACATCTACAATGTTTGGGCATCCATTTGAAGGTAACAAGCTGTTACCTTGATCATTCTAGCATTAGATCCCCTTTTTCTTGGGTTTAAGGCCATTTTTAGTATATTTGTGAACCATTTCGGGTATTGGTCATGATCTGAAGTTGTAACTTCAGATTTGGACTCCTCTAGGTCCCAAATTCATAAAACTATCAACTTTATCTTGTATTGGCCTCTCATCATGCCCTAAACCTCATTCTAGACTTGGTTTTTGGTGTTCTAAGCCTTTAAGACCTTGCATGCATGTAAAATTTGCTACTTTACGTGGAATCTGTGCCTTAGGAAGCTAGATCTACAAGTTGGAGCTTTGGGGTAGCTTAAAAACAGTTGAATGAGAAATGGACTGAAGGGACTCGACGAGTTGCATGGTCAACTCGACGAGTTCGATGAAGATTGGCCGTTGTTAGTTTTTGCATGGACTCGATGAGTCAGTGAGACAAATCAACGAGTTAGTTAGGGTTTTCCCGACATTTGGACACCGCATGGACTTGACGAGTTGTCTGGAAACTCGGCGAGTCAACTAGGGTTTTCACGGTTTCTCGAGTTCTGGAAGGACTCGACGAGTCAGTGAGTTGCACTCGACGAGTTGGGTTACCACAGACTGTTGATCTTGACTGTTGACTTCGACTTTGACCAATGGTTGACCAGTTTGACTTTTGGGGGTATTTTAGTAAATTGTGAATTTATGGAAGTGGTCCTATGGTGAATATAGGTGGTGGAGTTCTTGGCTGTGATTCGAGAGTTGATCTTATCACTACAGTTCAACATTGTGGGTGAGTTTTCCTCACTATACTCAAGGGTCTAAGGCACCAAAGTCGGCCCTTTTTGGATTGTTATCCTGATATGTTATATGATCGAGTATCGTATGATCTGTTAGATCGGTATCCTGGTAGATAGGATGTTGTTATGCTATTATGATCTGTTAGATCGGTGTCCTGGTAGATAGGATGTTATTATGCTATTATGATCTGTTAGATCGGTGTCCTGGGTTTTGAGCATTCTAACACTTCCTAAGTGTACATGCAACCCTAATAACCTTGGATCTATGTTTGTCTAATTATCATGCAAAGTTGAATTCCAAGGTTATATTCCTATCTAGCATACATGGGGAACAAATTTTAACTTGCATGAAAGATAGAATAACTTACCTTGTTGTTGCTTATGATCCTTGAAACCTTGTGAGCCTAGCACCCCAAATGTGATGCCTCAAATGCTTCACACAACACCAAATGCTTTTAGAATGACTTTAGAGAGAATACACACTTCTAAAATCGGCCTAGCCCTCTTGTTTTTTATGTGTAGCCTATTTTGGTGGAGAATGGGTTTCTTATATAGTGTTGACACATCTAGGGTTACACCATGTAAACCCTAATGTGTCATGACTCTTCATTTCCATGACCCATGGGTTTGTAACTCCCATGGAGCATCCATGGAGCATCCTATGGGTGGAACCCAACTTGATAATCCATGGAGCCTCTTAGCCCACTATATAAGATATGGAAGATTTACATAATCTACCCATATATTTAATTAGTTATCTTTTGATCACTTAATTAATTCTAAATTAATTCTTGATCAAACTAATTAAATAATATTATTAATATATTAGAACTTATAATATATTAATAAACCATAAGTATTATTTCTCTCATTTTAGTTTATCCAATTGCATGGTGCCATGCAACCCAAATGGACCATGCCGGGTCGGGTCAAGTACATACCAGAAATAGTTATGGACTTAGACACCTTATCCAACAGTCTCCCACTTGGATAAGTCTAATAACTATAACTGCAATACTTCAGGAACCGATCGGCAATCGTAGCTCTTTCAAGGTCTCTCGGAACTGAGAAGATGATGATACGCCATTTAAGATAAGTGATCATATAATCCTCTGTTCTAGATATCAGCCGGACAAATACATGGAACAGTGTCTTACTTTGTGTCCAGCAGTTTGTTTCCCGATTTCTGATTTGTTTGACAAAGAACTTAATTGAACACATCAACTTAGTTCTGACCGGGCCTGGTACATAGGTCAAAACAAAATCATCGAGGGGCCCAGATATCAGCTTCTAATCCAAGAAGGAACAGATAAACTTCGACTCATATGTTTGTTCTACCACTTATTGAATTATACATAAAAGCACGTTTTATAACATCGAGTTACCAATGCGTTAACGTACAATCAATGCATAACCAACTCATGAGTAACAAATCATATCTCTAGGTTTGAAGACTTATATGATATTACCGTCTCACGATCACTCGAGATAAATTCCATGAAGTGATTCCAGTGAGCGTGGGTTGAGTCCAATGCTCAGAACTTATGAGCACTCATGAGTGTTGTAGCCATGTCCAACAACTTAGACCTCTGCAACCAATCATGACAGTCTTGATTCATACCTACTTCCGACATATGACCGACTGTGGAGGTTCGAATAATATGATATACCAAACATAATTATTCTGGAAGTCAAAACATGCAAAAAAAATATAGTAAACGATCGACAAGAGATAGCAACACTTTACTCATAAATAAAACACCTTTTATTCATCATCTAATGTCAATTACACTTTACAAATTTCAAGGTTATCTAACTACTAAATCTCATATCATCCTTCAGCCCTATGCTCCGAGCATGCTGGAGATGCTTAACCCGAGTCAGTCCCTTCGTGAGGGGATCTGTTGGATTCTCATCCGATGATACCATCTTTGCCATGAGGAGTCCTTCTTCTATTCGATGTCTAATGAAATGGTATTTTCTGTCGATGTGTCTGGATCTCCCGTGATCCATTGGTTCCTTGACTAAGGCAACTGCACTTTCACTATCACAGAAAATTTCCATTGGCTCTTTAATAGTTGGTACAACTCCAAGGTCTCCAATGTAGTTCTTCAGCCATATCGCCTCCTTTGCTGCCTCGCTAGCTGCTATATACTCTGATTCGCAAGTTGAATCAGCCACTGTCTCTTGCTTGGAACTCTTCCAAGAAATTGCTCCTCCATTTAAGGTAAAGACCCAGCCTGACTGAGAGCGGAAATTATCCCTATCAGTCTGAAAACTAGCATCACTATACCCTACAACTCTCAAGTCTTCACTCCCACCGAGGGTAAGGACCCAGTCCTTAGTCCTCCGTAGGTACTTGACGATATTCTTTACCGCAGTCCAGTGTGCCTTGCCAGGGTTCCCCTGATACCTGCTAACCATGCTCAAAGCAAAGGCTACATCAGGTCGAGTACACGTCATAGCATACATGATCGATCCTACAGCCGAAGCATAAGGTATTCGACTCATTTCTGCTATCTCAGCCTCAGTACTAAGGCTTTGTGTCTTACTCAATCTGGCGTTACTCTGGATGGGTAACTCTCCTTTCTTGGAGTTCTGCATGCCAAATCTCTTCAACACCTTATCCAAGTAGGTACTCTGACTAAGTCCAATTAGTCTTTTACTCCGGTCTCTCAAGATCCTTATCCCTAGAACATAGGCAGCTTCTCCTAGGTCCTTCATAGAGAAACACTTCCCAAGCCAGGACTTAACTTCCTGCAGAGTTGGGATGTCATTTCCTATGAGTAGTATGTCATCCACATACAATACCAAAAAGCTAACTATACTCACACTAGCATTGACATATACACAAGATTCATCTTCACTCCTAGAAAAGCAAAATTCTTTGACTTTCTCATCAAAGCAAAGATTCCATCTGCGAGGTGCTTGCTTTAACCCATAAATGGATTTCTCAAGCTTACACACTCTATTAGGGTACTCTGTATTGACAAAACCCTCTGGCTGACTCATGTAAACATCCTCAGCCAACTTTCCATTAAGGAAAGCGGTTTTGACATCCATTTGCCATATTTCATAGTCATGAAATGCAGCTATGGCTAACAGAACCCTAATAGACTTAATCT